GCTATTTCTAGAACGCTGTTTTCTCAAAATGTTATTGGTCTACTTTTGTCCAACGAAAATCCGTATATTTGATGTGAGAAAAGTATCGCTTAGAATGGTTTAGCTTAGAATAGTTATTAATTCGCAATCCATCTTATTCTTAGCTAAACTAATACAAAACTGCTTATGTTCAACGAACGCGGCTATAAGTTTCTCGCTAAACCATTCTAAGCGATACTTTTCTCACATCAAATATACGGATTTTCGTTGGACAAAAGTAGACCAATAACATTTTGAGAAAACAGCGTTCTAGAAATAGCTTTTCTCTACAGCTGTTTTAAAGCAATTTAGTATTAGTTTAGCTAAGAATAAGATGGATTGCGAATTAATAACTATTTCGCCTCGACTGGAATTTTAGAACAGTGTGAAAATCAGATGTCGACGAGTACTACAAATGGGAGCAATATAAAAGAGTTCTACCGTATAGTTTTTGTGCTGTGGGACCTGAAAGGTGACTGTTTTTGAAAAGGGGTCTTCAAAGATGGGCTTCGTACTGAAAGAGGAAGATACATATCGGCCGTATTCTTTTTCTGTTGGATTAATCAACTCTTTGGCTTCATTTTTATCTATAGTGCAAGAACGTTTTATTTTGTTTTGCCTTCAGAAAACGGGAAATACTGAGTGCTATTTTTTCATTTTCGGCCATTTCGTGACAGCTGGCCTGCCATTGTAAAAGTACTGGGAGAAGTTTTTAATATTACTATTTGTAATACTCGAAGTGCTCTTTCATGTGGTATGCCCAACGGTGGTGTAAGCTCTGTAGAGGCAGAAAAAAATAAGATCAAAGTTGCTTAATTAGAAGGAGGACCGAAACTTGACATCCTTGAAAAAGCATATAGACTGTGACTTTTTTAGTGAACAAATATGGATTTCTATGTAACTTTTTAAGCTCTACACGGGAAGAGTCTTGAATTTTTTCCGGCTCTTAGGTCATGTAATGGTGGGCGGACCTAAATGGAAGTACCCAACAGTGTTCATCGTTCACTTGACTGGCAGAAAAATGAACCAATTTTACAGCACTTTCCGTATTTATTTACTGTTCTTAATCACGATCAGCCTTTAATCATGATTAGCGCAGTCACATTATTTATTTAACCTAAAATTAGACTAAAATAGTGTTAATCATGATTAAAAAAGGATGTGGTGACACTACAAAATCGTTAATCATGATTAACTTTAATCACGATTAATTTTAATCGTCATTAAGGCTGTAGTGTGACCCTCGTGTAAGATGCAGTTGATGCAATTTTTTCATTTTTAGCTAAAAATCTCGATCATTTTTCAAACGTAAGAATTTGAAAAAAATATAAGTAGTTGAATAGGATAGAAATGCATATCATTCCACTCAGTTTTTGCAAAATGATATTTTTATTGCATAAAAGTGGAGTCCTAATGGAGAAAATCGAGAATTACGGGCAGAATTTCGACATTTTTGCCTTTGATTTAAAAAAAATAAATTTTTTCAGCAACGGAAAGGAATTTCAAAAACAGCTCTTCATATTTTTGTTGCCCATTTAAAGGAGGATCGAATGTGGTAAAAATCGATGTCCCATCTGTTAACAGAAAAAACTAGATAGTTTTGCAAAATGACTTACCCTTCTTTTCCAATGGTCCATTCGAGCGTCCATGGTGAACAGGCGTTTACCTTTCGAAATGGATTTAATATCATTTTTAATTCAGCTTTTAACACTGAATAAGAAAAAAATAGTTTGAACGTTCCGACTAAAAACCCAAGTTGAAAAATCTAACTTTTTCGAGCATCGTCATTTTTTCCAGTTCCAGAAAGTTATTACATCAAGATTAATAAAGATCATTCGACACGGGTCTGAGTATCACCTTCATTTTGAATAAAAAAGCATCCTTTGTGTTAACAGTTAGCTTTCCTCTCCGACAAATATCGATCAGTTTTTGTTAATTTTTTTGTTTAGTGGTTTAGCGAAATCTTGCGCCTTGTTCTGGATCGATAATGAAATGTCAAGAACTAAAACGTGTCTGGAACTATGTGTGAAATTAAATTTCCTATCCATTTACATCGAATGAAAAACACTTTGAGCATGCTATCCTTGCATTCTTTTATGTATAACCTCAGAGAAATCTTCTCAGAATTCAGTATAATAATTTTAAGTACGGCTTTTCTTTTGTAACAGGTGGCATTGCTAACAATGCACTACATTTGTTTAGGTGGACAGAATCAACAACTGGCGATTCAAACACTATTCACGTACAGTGGCACACATCGGTCAATGGAACAATTCAATTTTCAAAATTTACATTGTATATTTTATGACGACAATGAGATTCTAGCCAGACGTCTAACATCTCAATTTGATCTATCGTTTAATATAAAATATGAACCGAAACAACATTCATTTTCGTGTTCATTTGAATATAAGACAAATTGTTTTCGACATGAAACAATTGAAAAACTCTCGAGACAATATCAGTTATTAACCCGACAATTATTTGATAATAAACCAATGTACGAACTGTCAATACTTCTACCTGAAGATATAAGAATAATTACAGATTTAAGTATAGCAGATGTACAGCACCAGCACCAGCAACAATGTATTCATTACTTATTTGTTGATCGATGTCAAGAACATCCACAAAAGCTATGCATCGTATTAGATGAACAATCATTGACATATTCTGAAGTTCTCTATTACGTTCAATTGTTATCAGTTTATCTCATCAAAGAATGTTATGTTCAACCACAACAAATCGTTTGTCAATGTGTGGATCGATCAATTGAAATGTGCATCGGTATCCTATCAATACTGACATGTGCTGCGGTGTATTGTCCACTCAATCAACAATATCCACAAAAACGACTTTTATCTGTCATACATGACATGCAAACACAGCATGTCCTTGTTCATCAGTTAACAAAATATAAATTCGATGAAATCAATATTCAAGAAATCATTTATAATTTAAAGCATAGATGTTTATTGGATAATGAGTTGGAATTATTATCAAATGTCAAATTAACAGCTGATCATATAGCGTACGTTCTATCTACATCCGGCACAACTGGGCAACCAAAATTTGTTCCAATTTGTCATCGAAATTTTACATCATTTATTCAGTCATTTTCGTCCAATCTACAAATATTCACTAGTCAAGATAACGTTATTCAAATTGCTCAATGTTCGTTCGATGTCCATTTTGAAGAAATTGTCGGCGCTCTTGTTGTTGGTTCAACACTGGTCATGCTTCATCCTTCTGGTCATCTAGACATGTCTTATTTATCCTCCGTCATACAAATGAAGCAAGTAGCATTCATCGATACTGTTCCAACAATGATGATGTCATTATGTGATTATATGCAAGAAACAATTCAATGTGAACGTTTGAAAAGTCTTCGTTGCATAAGTGTTTGTGGTAAATATTTGAATTTATTTGTTGTTTGAACGAAAGTACTAAGAAAGTGTAGAAGAGTGGCAAGTACATTTTCTGGCTGTCAGATAAGGCACTCATGAACATATTTGGTCTTTATAAAGTAACTTCTTCTAATCTTCTTGGTTTCAACGTTGCTATTCATTGGCAAAAAAGAGACCGAAGATTAAAGCAGGTTCAAAAACAGACAATTTTTCGTTAAAACCTCGCTTGATGGATTTTATTTCGTTGGATAGCTCCTAGCATCTACTTTCAGATTTTATTCTAAACTCGTCAATTGTTTGTTTTCATGTAAAGACGTTGACCGTTTACAGCAAAGTGATAATCTAGAGAAAACTTGAGATCGACATGTTTGGGGAGTCATCTACCACAACTTTATGACTGTATCAATATGCTGCTAAACGTCCTGAAATCCTCGTTCATAATCTCAATAGTATTTTGACACCATTTTGTGTTTTTCTGTGGCGGTTTTGGAAATATTATATCATGAAAGCAAAGGTTTTTTTCATGCGAATTCTCTTTTTTCTATCGCTCTTCGTCTTTTGAAGTGCGCCTCGTAGTGACTATTTAGGGCTCTTTTAAGGACCCCGCCCCCCAGAAATGGTGATTTTCGGTCAGAAAGTCGGTTTTCAGATACGCCCATGGAAAGATAGCCTGAAATGTGTACTTCTAGAATCTGTATCGCTTTTGGTTACAAAAGTGGTTTTTCGAGGATTTTCAGCAAGTTTCCTAGGCGTCCCGAAAAACCGGGACTTCAAATAATAGTTTTTTCCGGATACTTATGTGATTAAAATTCTTCTGAAGACACATATTTGTAGAGCAAACTTTTCTGATCAAAATAAGACCTTGCACAACTCTGTATGATCTTGCATTAAAAAGTTACAGGCATTTTCCTAGAAGTCCTAAAATTCAATATTTCATACAGCATGATGTATGAATTACACCTGAAGTGTTTCCCAAGACTTTAATAGCAATTTGTCGTAGAGAGTTCATTCTTTTTTGGTTTAAAAGAGGAAAAGAAACTACATGGGCTGACGGGTGCCGATCTTTGAATTAGGTCTTAGATTTTTGTGAAAGTGAGGATTTTTGGAAGGCCCAAAAGGGTTTTGTAGGTTGCCTGGAAAATCAATAAAGGCTTAATTGAAAAATCGGCGTCGGTCAGTCCATGTAGTTAGGTGTCTAGCTTAAAACAAAATAAATCCGAACTCTCCAGCTTGAAGTACCGGGTATCACAAAAGTTTGCAACATCTTATGTTTTTCGAATATTTTAGCGTAGATACAACAAAGATTATTCAATCTGTTTTCAAAAGATGAGCAATTTTATTCTCTACAAAATTGATGTTGACTATATTTTGCAGTAATAAAATTCTAAATTTCTAGAGGCCAAACACTTCAATGGAATCAAGTTCAACTACTTCTCATCAATTCTTAGAATGTTTTGCGAATTTTTTTTTGCGCTAACGACAACCCTATAAAAATGTTCGTTCACTGTTTTTGTAGTAGGAAGAAAGATAAATCGTTTTCGTATAAAACTTTTTATTAATGATCTTTTCTGAGCTACAAATAGCTTTCTCATATCCTTTTTTCTGACGAGAGTAGCTGGAAGGGGAAAATCGGGTTATTTTTGGAAATACGACTTTTAGAAAAAATGTCGTTCAACGAGTAGAAAGTAGTAATGAAATATCTAAGTATATGCAATCAATAGACATTTTTTAGGACTATCTATTGGTGAGTCGTATTTTATGAGCCAGATATTTATTGGAATTCTACACACGAACAAATCCAAAATTCAGCGGGAAGTAGTTGAACTTGATTCCATTGAAGTGTTTGACCTCTAGAAATTTAGAATTTTATTACTGCAAAATATAGTCAACATCAGTTTTGTAGAGAATTAAATTGCTCATCTTTTGAAAACAGATTGAATAATCTAAGTTGTATCTAGGCTGAAATATTTGAAAAACATAAGATGTTACAAAACTTTTGTGACACTCGGTATATTAAAAAATCTTGAGAAAGACTTAAATCTTAAAATCTACAGGATTTTAACCGAGATTTTTCATTGAAAATGAGAATAAAAAAGTCGGGCGATGTCATGAACTGAGATCATGTCTTTGCAATAATCTGTTACTTTGAGAGTCCAAATCGCAGCAGATAAAATGCTTCATTTTCAACTTTGGGTCACGTCACGTAGAATTATGATAAAAAGGTCAAACTTTTTTTATTAGTTTTTTTTGTCCAAAGCTTACAGATGATACTCGTTCTACTATCTGGAGACTTTTCGTATTCATTTATTTCAGGTTGAATCTTTCGTGGTGGACCTGGTCAATAAGATGATGAGACAGTTACTTATTGAGGTATTTGTTTCTGTAAAGGTGTGTGGGCTTCTCATCCATTACCAAACCATTACAATGATGGAATACCTGTTATTCACAGATCCCAGCCTTTTTCATGCTGATTTTCGAGCCGTCTCAAGTTCCATACTTGCGTGGAAATTCCAGAATTCAAAGAGTGGGTACTCACTCTCATGGCCCTCTACTCCTCTCACTATTATATTCTCTCTACGAACTGGCAGATTCTGGTCCAATTCTGCTGTAATTCTGGCAGATTCTGCTAAATGAATATATTTTAAAAATATAACTACTAGTAGGATACAGGAGATCGTTAATATATGTACGTAGCTTACGAACCTAAAGAAAACACAGTTCCATTAAGACTTTTATTTATGATTCTCTAATAATGAAGGATGAAAACTAGCAAAAAATATTTTCAGATCTGGGTTTTACGATCGGCACTACAAAAACCAAGGCAGACCTTTACAGGTTTTTCAGAAAACTTTTGAAGACCTTTAGGTAAAATCTCCATAAGAGAAATGAATCTAAAGTTCCCACGTTCAAAATTGAGTGGGCTTTGAAAGTTTGAATCATTTTGGTTGAGAAATGAAGGTGCTAGAAGTTTTTATTTTGTTATGGTCACAGTGGAAAAATCGGATTTCCCGAAAAATTCGTCTTTTGAACTTTCTTCAATTTGGACAACAAAATAAACATTGCCACGAGATTCACCATAGTCGAAAAGCTATATTTGCGATCATTTCTACTGATCCCAAATCTGACAAAAGGACAGTTCTGGTGCTTCGGAGAAAAGCCTTACTAGGCCCAAATAATGAAGCCGCAGGTCTCTATCCTATTTCTATCAATAGTTATTCAAAAAGCAACCACCTGCCTTGTATTTTGGTACCGATAGTAGTTCTGTTTTAAACCCAACTGGTTTTTAATTTCAACTCCGACATGCATATCATCTATAATTATTTAGAACAGTTAATGTGTTTTTTTATGTAGTGGTAGTAGTAGTAGTATATTGCTTTATTAATATGACAAAAATAAGTGATACAAGAAAATAAAATAAAATTAAAGTTCCACTTTTGCATTGACTACAGACAAACTTCATCCCTGTAGTCTAAACATACAAAAAGAAAACCACATTGAAAAAGACCATCTAGGAAAATATCACAATGATCACACAGCTATATACAAACCATAAAAGATGAGAAAGTAATTCAAGAGAAAAACAAAAATACAGAACGATAGACCGTCATTTAGTAACCGAAGACAAAGTCGAATAGGGTGAGAGTGAGGACGCCAGAGCTGATTAAAAGCAGCTTTCGACATATAACGCAGCCGCTGCTGTATTCAAAGATAAACTTTGACCAATTTGGTCAATGATAGCAGCAAGACGAACAGCCATATTGTGACTTGGGCGAAAACCAGCTTGTTCATCGGGAAGCATCCCAGAGTCATGAACCCACTGGCGAAAATGAACAAGGAGTATTTTTTCATACAATTCAGAGAAGCATGGAAGTAAAGAGATTAGACGCATATTGTTGACATTTACAACGTTAGTTTTTGTTTTGGACAATAAGATAATTCGTGCTGTTAATCAATGAGTAGGAAAAATTAGAATTCGAAGAAATTAACAGAAAGATAGATAAGTGGAACATGAGATTGTGGTAACAATTTAATCATTCTATTAGACACTCCATCTAAACCAGATGAATTTTTATTTTTAACTAACGAAATTGCACTTCTGATATGTTTAACAGTAATAGAAAAACTATTTTGAGGACAATTTTAGACTTCATACTCTAATTTATGATCCACAATATCGGCTTCCACTTCCTTCCACTTGATCATCGCGTTAATTATCGCGGCTGCCATTGGATACTTCATAGTCCAATTTATTAAAAAACATGTAAGAAAATATCGGGCAATGGCAGTCATGACTGGAGTTGATAAAAGACGGGCAACTGCAGATGCCACTTTTGCCGGTCAAGCACCCTATATCATCCGAAAGGAGGACTACAATCAGCGGCCCCGGGTAGCGACGTCTCCTCACACACATATACAAAAACTGAATACCGCTTCAAAGTGGTATGAAGTAGCCTCAAGACAATTACAAGCTATGGGAATAGACTAAGAAGACAGACAATTACTTCCGTCTCTTATAGAACTTTAGCTCAGATGTTTTTTCCTCACTTTTTCTTACTCGCCAATCGCGATAACAAATACTCACTGCAAAAAACACCCCGGACTCATTCTCACACCGCCTCCGCTCCGCCCTCCTGTCTCGAATGCATGAAAGTTTCTGATACAATTCCTTTTATTCAATCTTTTTAACTTTTTTTTTAATTGTGTTGCTTATTCAAAATCATCATCCAGTCCTTGCCATCCATAATAAAAAGCTATCATTCAATTTCCTTTCCTATATCTCAGCAATGTTTCCACGTACAAGTGATAAACATACATATATGAGAGACGATTCATTTCTCTCTTTCTGTCGCTCGCATTCCACTACCGAATCATCAAAATATCCCATAATCTTTTTATTACCACCCTTATACTGCATGCACAAACAGTTATGCATCTTCCTAGAGCATTCTTCTCTTATCTATGCACTTTATTAACCGATGTGAATCGCATTCCCGCTCATTTCCTTTCTCTGGCCAACTGATGAAGTATTGAAAACGTTTTTGTGCAGGAAAAACCCAGCCATCTTACCATCTTTTAATCTTTTTTAAGTCTTGTTTTCTTCTTTGTTAACTTTTTAGTTTTTATTATTTCGATGGAAAAATAAAATAAATTATTTTAATCCGATTATCATTCTGGCATAGCCAAAACCGAATTTCGGTCGACTAAGAGTCAAGAGGTTCATGACTGCCAGACATGGGCGGGACCGGGACGAAAAGTCTTTTCTAACGGGTCCCGCACCGGGACTATAACAATTTTTTGTGGCACCGACACTAGAACTAAGATTTGTTTCGACAGTTGTATAAAATCAGCTCCAACTTGACCGGTTTTCTACACTAAAACAGAAACGTTGTGGAAAATCATCAAGAAGTGTTACAATTCTTTCCTAGGCATTGAATTTCGCATCTACGTCATGCAAACTTTATTAATAAAGTGATTTCTCCCGTACCATAAAAAGTATCCGGGTTCCCGCCCATGTCTACCACAGTCTCTTCTGTTCTGTCTTTATGTAATATAGGCACAGTTTGAAAGTCAACGTTATATTCTCTCGTTTTGTTCATTATGTGTAATAACCCTAGCCACAAATTATATGTTCAACTTTTTAAGCTTTTCGAGCTGAAAAAATGTTTCCAACAGCTTATGATAAACACAATAAGGATCAAGCAGACTATCGTTATTGTTATTCATCAACGATGATTTGTTATTTACATTAGGAGGAGGTTTCACAGCAATAACATAAATCGAACTAGAATAGGAAGAACATTACATGAGATCTCACGTAGAGAATAATTAGTTCGTACTCCAAATCATCCACTTGCGTACCAGGTAAAAAGAACGATTAATAACCAACGGTTAAACATACTCGCTTGTTAATGCTGTACCTTAAATAAGAGAAAACCTGCAGCTTGTCGTAGATTTTTGTGAATATCTGTATAAAACTTGAGAAAAAAGGCTTTATTGATAGATAATCTTAATCTAATGGGTAAAGCAAACTACAGTATTTGCCCGAATGCACGGTGATGGTTTAAGTAATCCTACATTGGCAGATTCCATCTTCGTATAGAATAATTTCTTTTACCATCCAAAGTAAAAGTCAGTATTTAACATTTCTCTTGGCAAGTTCCAAGGTAAATGGAATACAGCAAAATATATATCAATTTGGCTTTGTCTGCTCTTCAGTTTTTCGTACTGTTTGTGTCAATCATTTATGAAATTCAATTGTCTAAAAAGAAGTGACTTGTTTTTACTAGTCAATCTATTAAATAAAAATGGCAAACCAACGGAGAAGCAAAGTAGATTGCAGCTGTATTTCGAAATTTTTATCTTTTTACTTCCCGTCATCTATAGCGCACTCGACTACTTAAAAACATCGATTTGAAGCAGAGAAATTATGCCTTGTTTACAGATTTCTTCAAACACAAGGTACAGTAACACCAATTTTCACAAGTTTTATTTAAATAAAGAAAATGAAATACAAAGTTATCTTCTTGCTTTTATAAATCTCTCGTTTCGCAACTAATTCCTTCTGTCGTAACTGTGATGCTGACCCAATGTTCCATCTTTTACACCAGCATTATAATGTCCTTTTTGATTTCCTGCAGAATTTTCATATTCAGTTGGACTAAAATATTGACAAAAAGTAAATTTGAAAAATCTATAGTTTTTCTTATTCTATATTGTGATGCACGACGAAAAAAGTCAAAACTGAGAAGGAAGAGGGAAAAAACAGAGCATCGGAATACGTACTTATCGCTTCTGATTGATATGTGTGTTCCATAATCATTTCTAAATTCATATTGAGTACAAAACATTCCTTGATTGTTCCTGTCAGGTATTCTCGTTTGAGTTTCATATGGCTCTTGACTGTTTGGTATTCCATTAACATGTTTTGCCTTTGCAAAAGCTTGTGTTGATGTTTCACTATGCGTATTGTACTTTTTCTCAATCTTCTGATTTTTAAAACCATCATCATGCGTCTCCTTTGCAGCATTGTAAGGTATATTTTGACGATTCATGTTTATCTTATGTAAGTATGACAGTTTGTGATGTACAGAATTATATTTCACCGTGTATTTATATGCGTAGAGAGAAAGAAAAAGAGCAGGTTTATTCCCATTGTACTTTTCCCTTTCAATACTGTCTCTTTGACTTCTTACACGAATGGACGACAGAACGAAAAGAAATATATATGTATTCCAATAAAATATGAGTCACACAGCTGAACATATTCTATACATGCGCGTTTGTTTTTTCCCAATTTGAAGATTGTTTTTCGGTCTTCATGACAATTCCTTACAAAAGTGTAAGCTATTGCATTCCGTGAGTATGCAATTGAAGATAACTAATGTTATGCCCTGCATCCATCTCCAGATTCAGTTCATAAGAGTTAAAGTATTTTAGGCATGCACCGAGACGAGAAGTATCGAGAAGCCTCGATACTGTAGTCTCGAGTCTCGAAAGCCTCGAGTCTCGAAAGTCTTGAGTCTCGAAAAGAGAAAAGCTCTCTCGTCAGAAAAGCTAATAAGCTTCTCATGGCTCACGCCGTTATTTTTTACAGTGCAGATGCAAGGCACGCTGAACTACTACGCTGTTATAGTACGGAAACAGCCTATAGGACTACACATAATAAGTACAGACAAGAGCATTTTTCTCTTCCGCACGAAGACTGGCTCGAAAAAGAAATAAACATTCTTAAGCAGC